CGGGCCGGTGCTGGAGCCGGGGCGAGGTCAGGTGTCCTTGGGGCTCTCAGGCTGTCTGCAGCGGCAGGGGTGTCCCTGGGGGCCTTGGTTACCCAAGAGGCCGTGCGTGGTGTGAAGCTCTGAGCTGGCCTTGGCCCCCATTAGCTCGAGTGCCCTGGGCCTCAGTTTTCCCTTCTGTGACCAGCAGTACGTGTTGCCATAGGCTGATGGGGGAGCCCCAGAAAATGGGGTCCCAGCTGGGCTTTTTCTCTTCCTTCTGTGACCCCTCATCTTGGTGTCCCCCACCCAGCCACAACAGGGTTGGGCCACAAGATGGGGCCAGACCCTTTTGGGGCCCCAGAATGCCTTTATTTTCCTCATGATTTGGGGGACCTGGGGTGTCCCAGTAGGGACTCCCTCAAAGAGTAGGTTCTGGAGGTCCTTGCCAGTGGACGCAGCAGGCCCCTGTGACAGCTTTCTGTCTGTCCTCCTGTCCGTCCCCAGCCGGTGCAGCTGGCCCGTCCGTGGGCCAGCCTCCTGCCTGGGCGTTTCTCCCCAGCCTGCCATGGCCAAGGTGCAGGGTAGGGGTCCCATGTTCCCGCACAGGACCCAAGCCCAGGTGGGCCCACCTGGAGACGCAGGGCAGGTGAGAGCAGCGGTGCTGCGGGAGCCTGCCTGCCTCTCTGGCGGGAAGCTGCCCCGCGTGGCCGGCCTTCACATGCAGTTGGGAGGACATTGAGGGGCTGGTCCTGCTCCGCTGGGACACGGAGGCGAGGTGGAAGGCTGAGTTTATCGGAGGCGGACCTGTGTTAATTACCTGTCCCATGTGTGACCTCACTGTGCCTGCAGAGTGCCTGCACGTGGGCGTAGAGACACCCTCAGGTTCTGGTCCCAGACCCGTGGCTGTGCCGTGTCCCCTCCCTAGGTGACTTGGGAACCAGGACAGCTCCTTTCCTTACAGCCCAGCATGCTGGTGTCACCCAGCTCCCTGGCCTGTACATGCTTGGGGCTGCAAGGCCGCGGCACCCGCATCTCTGTCCTTGGGGTTGGGCTGGGAGCACTCGATGGGGGACAGCGGTGCCGGAGGTGAGCGGTGAGGGGAGCTGAGTTCAGAACCCTCCTGTGACAGGCCCAGTGGCTGCTCCTGGCCGTCCTCTGTACGGCCCTCCTTGCCAGGTGTCCTTGATGTTGGTGTGGTGACAGCAGAACCGTCTCCCTTCTTCAGCTCCCTGCCCTCGCTCCCCGGCACCGTGGCTTATGTCCCCCAGCGCCTGTGTGGGCTCAGGAAGTACCCCAAGGGGCAGGAGCCTTGGCATTGTCACGTGAGTGGGCACGGTCACTCTGACCTCCGGTCGCACGAGCGTCTCAGCACCAGCGGGGGTGACGGGCTCGTGGCCGTGACCAACCACTCAACATGTTTTTTGTTTTTGCCGTGTCTGCTCCCTCCAGCCTGACCCCGGAGGGCAGCAGAGAGGGCCGGGCCAAGGATGTTGGGGCGATCACACGGGTGCCAGACACGCTGCAGGGAGAGGCTGTTCCTGAGGACACTAAAGGATCCTGGGCCGCTCTGGGCATCTGGGGGGACGAGTGGACCCCTGGGACCTGGTGCCGCATGACTCCACGCAGCTGTACCTCACACCGTTTTGAACTCCATGTCGCGTCGCACTCTGTCCCTGACTTTCAGTTCCTGGCTGACCCTGCGGGAGGGCTGGCTAGTGGTATCTTCAAGTTCTAATTTCTTTCTGGAACCGCATTTGCTTCCCGGTCTCAGAGTGCAGCCCTGAGCCGACCCGGACGAGGGAGGCTGAGGGGCAGCTGTGTGAATCCGCGTGCCGCTGGGCCGGGAGCCGTGGCTGGCCTGCCTTGTTCCCGTATTGTCTCTGTGCTTTGCGCTGACAGGTGGGCTCTGTCCGGGCCATCCGGCCTTGGCCAACTGGACCCCTGGGGCGGGCAGCGTTGCTGACTGCAAGTCCCTCCTTCGGGCTCATGGTGGTCCTAGGATCTCCCCTTTAGGGAGCACACTGGGCCGCTCAGCCATCCCCCGACCCTCAGGTGGCGTCCCTAGACCCTGGAGGAAGGGAAGCAGAAGCCCTTGGGCAGGTGCACGGTCGGGCAGGTCTGATTTGTGCTTCAGCCGGTTTTCAAAGTGGGAGTAACTTTGCACTCTCTCCCTGTTGCGAACACGATGTGCGTCTTCAGAAATGCACGCGGAGGGGAGAGCCCCTGTCCTCGTGGGCCGGTGTGCGTGGCGGTGGGCTTGGTGCCTGCAGGCCCCCACGAGGCCCTTTTCCGTCCTCTGCCTGCCCCGGGGCTTCCCAGGGCGGCCTGTGGCTCTCCTGTGTGCTCGGCATCTTCTGTGATACCGTGTCCGGCCTGGAGAAGCGCCCGGGGAAACAAGGCAAAGCCAGGCTTACGCTATTGCTCTGCTCGCGGGGACCTGCCCTCCTGCTGTCCTTGGGGCAGAAGGGACTGACCCCCAGGCCTGGTCCCCCCGAAGGGTGATGGTGTGCGCGCTCCCGCCCGGCCATGCCCACTCACTCACTCTGCCTGATACCCTAGAGGGGACAGGGTGACCTGTGCCGTTTTCTGTCCCGGGGAGCCTCGCTGAGTCCTCCTCCCTCGCTGGGGCGGCTCGCGGGGGTCAAGCTCGGGGGGTATCGGGCCCCAGCTCTCTGACGGTCCCCTTGCTGGTCTCCTCACAAGAGGTGGGTCCTGGCACCAGGGGTGGCCAGGGAGCCCCCAACCTCTTACACTCTGGCTGCCCTTCCTCCCTGCCGTGGAGCTGGTACCTGGGCTGCCTGTCGCTGTGAGAGGCAGAGGACTGGACGCCACCACCCCAAGGGGACACCACGAGCCGAGTGGAGTCCGAACGTGGAGGGTGTCCTGCCCTGCATCAGTGGAGCGTTTGCAGGAAGAGTGCAGGCTCCTCGCCGTGCACAGGCCCGCAGAGCGTGGGCACATGGATGCTGGTGGGTGCTTGGCCTGTTCTGCACATGTCCCCTCTGGGCCTCACGGACTCTGCTGGGGAGGATGATGTCAGGCTGGAGCCAGGCTTCCCTTCGGGCCACTATGGAAGGACTCCTGTGCCTGTGCCTCCAGGGAGCACGTGCCAACGCTGGGCGCTCTGCTTGGAGCTCCAGCAGTGGGGTCTAGGAATCCCTGGAAGTGCTGGGCAGTGGGGGGGAGGTGCGGGTAGGCCTGGTGTGCCACGGAGTCCAGGAGGCCCCCTCCAGGCGCCTGGCTCAGGGTCTGGCAGCTGCTGTGCTGCCCTGGGCACGTACCTCACAGTGGGGTTGGGGGAGGTGCTCCCGTTTGTGGCCGGAGCTGGAGGAGGGAGGCCCTGAGGCAGCCTCAAGTCCTGGTGGCCACCCGAGCCTGTCCCTGCACTGAGCATGCCTGTCCGACCTCGTGCTTGGAGGAGGCCGGCCTGTACCTTGGCCCGTGACCGCTCCCCCCTCCCATCGTGTTTGTTTAGGCCCTGGCTGCACTCTAGGTGTTCCCTGGCTTTCTGTGTTCCTGCTGGACACGTAGGGAGGGCAGGCCCCAGGGGAGAGCCCCGCAGGTGGTGCTGGTGCTCAGGCCAGGTTTGCACTTGCTGACCTGCTGGGGGCGGGGCGGGCCAGTGGGCAGGAGGGATGACCCAGGTTTGCTCCAGGCTCCCACGCTTCCTGGTAGTGAAGACCCACCCTCGTTGCCATTAGCATGAGCTGGCGGAGCGCCACAGCTGGTGGGGCCGTGGGCACCGTGCTCACAGTGCCAAGGCCCCAGCTGGGCCGGAGGGAGAAGCAGGAGAGGGTGTGGAGGAGGGGAGGGGCCGTGGCTTCCCCGGGAAGATGGGCGTGGCACCTCACGGGGGCTCCAGGGTGTCCCTTGAATGCAGAGCAGGTCTCCTTGGTGGGCAAGATGCACCTGCTGTCCTGGTGAACCCTTTCACTCTGGTGGGAGTGCTTTGTAGCAGGTGCCAGTTACGTGGGTGTACCCACGCCACGTGGCAGGTGGCGAGCGACCAGCAGGATATTCACCGGCTCCCGAAACGGAGCCGCTTCTGCAAGTCGTCCGAAGGGTGCTGCTCTCTCCCCCATCCCGTCGGGCCCCTCGCGTGGTGGGGGTGCCGCTCAGCCCCAGCCTGTCTGGATATCATGACACGGACATGAGGACCCAAAGTGTGGCAGGGCATACCAACATGGCCTGGTGCTCCCTTTCCGTGTGTGACCCCCCCCAGTCTGCTCTGGGCCCTACAGCTAAGAGCGAGGCCAGCGGCTTCCATCCAGGAAACAGCAGGGCTTCTGGCGTTGGGACTGGCCTGTTGGTTCTGGGGCACCGTTGGTTGTCTTCCTTCCCAGCCCGAACCAGGCCAGCATTCCTGAAAGCTGGTGGGGGAGGGGAGCAGCCCCCCCTCGCTGAGAGGGCAGTGTGAGGTGCGTCTCCTCCCGCCCGCCCCCTCTCCCTGGGGCTGGGCGTGTCACACTCCGCCTGCCATCACAAACCAGCTCTGGTTCTCGTGGTGATGTCGGAACCTCGCGCCGAAGGGCCCGGGCTCCGCACGCTGCACAAGGGTCCGCGAACACTCTGCCTGGCTGGCTTAGCTCTGTGGGGTCGATGCCGGAGCGCTCTCTACATGTGAATCATTCCCCCAAAATTGCCACGATCAAGAACAGTCCGAGTCAGCCCCCAGCAGGCAGGCCAGTTGGTGGGCAGGGAGCCAGGAGAGGCCACATCCCGGGCCGCCACCTCCCACTGCTGGCTGTGTGCCCGGACTGCCACCTTCCCGCACTTGCGTTGGTGTCCCCCGCCCCCCAAGCAGCCCGAGTCCACATCACGTCCCTGCCCCAGCCTGAGAGCGGTAATTGGACTGTGGGTCTGTGACAGGTGAGGGCCGGGCTGAGCACGGCGAGTGGCACAAGTCATGAGAGCCGGCCTCATCGTGACCACTTGGGCGTGCGTGCTCGGGAGCCCGCGAGGCCAGGCGAGGCGGTGGGGCCTGGGTGACCGGCCTGTCTCTGTCAACCTCCTCCCTATAGGTGCTGCCCGCTCGGGCCCAGAAATGGGATGTCAGGCCTCCAAAAGGAGCACAGTGGAAGCCAGGGCCTCCCCGAGCCGCTGCTGTGACGGCCAGTGAGCGCGCAGCAGAGGATGTCCACCACGACGACAGTCGCCCCCACGGGGATCTCGGCGGCCCCGGGCCCGGTCAACCCGCCCCCGCCGGAGGTCTCCAACCCCGCCAAGCCTGGCCGCAAGACCAACCAGCTGCAGTACATGCAGAACGTGGTGGTGAAGACGCTCTGGAAACACCAGTTTGCCTGGCCCTTCTACCAGCCTGTGGATGCGATCAAGCTGAACCTGCCCGTGAGTGCCCTCCCCTCCCCCACCCACCCGCATCCCTGCCCCTCTGTCGCCCCCTCCCAGAAGGACTGCCTCTGGGGCCAGGCACAGCCCAGGGCCCGTGGTGACAGAGGAGCAAAGGGGATGCTCAGGGTGTGGTGGTCCCTAAGCGTAGGGAGCAGGGGGGAGGCCGTGCCTCCCTGCTCTTCCCACGTACCCTCCTGTAGAACCCTGCCTCTGCCCCCGCCCCCCCGCTGTCAGGTACTCAGTGCAGGTTGTGGCCCCCTTTCGGGCGGAGGCCAGGTCATCTGATGGGTTTCTTCTTTGGACCCAAATAGAGAAAACCCTGAGCATTTTCCAGGGAATCCCTGGGCCGCTCGTTGGTGGCCTGGGTTCTGGGCCCAGCTCGGCACACCGGTCACCGGCGGGCCCTGGATTTGGAGTCTGGGGGGTCTCGGCCCCTTCTCCACGGTGCCGATCTGCTCCTGCCCCGGCTGCCTGGTTCCGAGTGTTTCTGAGAATCACCCGTCCGGGCGGAAGCTGTTGGGCGACAGGTGTGGCGGGGGGTGCACGTGGGCCGGGCGCTCGCCCCAGAACCCGCACCGGCCCTCAGCTGACCGGACACTGGCGAACCCCGTGCCGCAGAGTCTGCTGACGTCCCTCTGAACATCTCTTTCCCAGGATTATCATAAAATCATAAAGAACCCGATGGACATGGGGACTATTAAGAAGAGACTAGAGAATAATTACTACTGGAGCGCGAGTGAGTGTATGCAGGACTTCAACACCATGTTTACAAATTGTTACATTTATAACAAGGTAAGAAGGCTCGCGGCTCCCCACTGCTGGGGGGGGCGGGGCCGGCTCCCGAGCAGCTCTCAGACGGCGGGCGGGGGCCACGCCACCCCCGGGCCACAGTCGCCACTCGAGGTTCTCAGGTGCTGCCCATGCCCTCCTCCCCCCAAGGGGGGAGCGAAGCCTGCAGCGGCCTTTTTTCGGGGGAGCTTACAGACCAAACACTTCAAACTGTTCATGCCCTCGGACCTCGAAACCCCAGCTGTCGGGACGCTCACGGGCGCCGTGATATCCACGTGCAGCCGCCCCACGTGGCCAGGCCACTGCACGACCAGGGAGCACGTGGTCACGATGGCTTTCGGGGAGGAGAGTAGAGGAGGGAAGGCCCACACGGTCCTGACTTGGTGGGGCTTGTGTTGTTTTCCATTGCAACGGGACACAGCACGGACGGGTTGAGTTGAACTGAGCGGAAGGTTCTGTTTTCCGCGCGGGGTTGGCTGAAGGGTGGTTCTTGTTCTTGGTTTTCTGGATTCTTCCAAGAGTCTCCACAGTGAAATCTGCTCCTTTCTCCTCCCCCACCGCTTGCCCTACCACATCTCTGAAGGGATTTTTGAATAAACGTTTTCTTGAGCCACAACCAGTGATGTCTTTACAAGCACGTGGCCCCTTGCCCAACAAGTGACCTTGGCTCTCCCTGTGTCTTCAGCCCACAGATGACATAGTGCTAATGGCCCAAGCCTTAGAGAAAATTTTTCTGCAGAAAGTGGCCCAGATGCCCCAGGAGGAAGTTGAATTATTACCCCCTGCTCCGAAGGGCAAAGGCCGGAAACCGGCTGCAGGAACTCAGAGTGCAGGTAATAGGGTGGGCGGTGCCGTCCTTCTGTCCTGACACCCCTCCCCTGACCCGGAGTGTGACAACAGCATTCTTGTGTGAGTCCCTCGGCCCTCTGAGCTCAGTGTCCCTGTCTGTGAAGTTGGGGCGATATGGCTGGCCATCTGCCTTTGAGCCTGCTCTGCTGGGGAGACTGGTATTGCCCTGCCCCCATGCTGAGGCCACCTCTTCCAGAAGTCTGGACATGAGGTCCCTTTGTCCCCCCAGGACGTTGCCTTTCTAGCAGGTGTTGTATGCTCTGGGACAGGAGAGGGGCTGTGTCACCTTTTGGGGAGGGCTGGAGGTGCGGGATGAGAATTAGCACTAGGAGCCCTGGGGGGGTCTTACCTGGTCCAGGAACAGGGAACAGAGGCATGCCCCGATGGAGAGACTGGCCAGGCACCTCAGCCCTTGGAGGCCGGGGCGGGTCCCCACCAGTGCCAGCCATCCCGCTTTGCAGATGGGACTGTGGGTGGTTAAGTAGGTCTGCCGGGTCATCCAGCTGGTTACTGGTGGAGTCTGAGTCAACCCCAGGTTTCTCGGGCCCAGGCCTGGCTCTTCTTCCCAGTCTGCACCTGCTCCAGGCGTCCTCATTCAGACTTTGGTCTGGGTGAGCGCCTGTGGAGGCTGGTTCTATGGGGGCAGCCATGGTGCAGGGGCAGAGGTCTCAGGAGGGGTGCCTCCCTGGACTGGTGTGCTCTGGCTGGAGGGTCTGGTCCAAGAAACTTTTGGAAGCTAGCTGGCAGCTAGAGCCCAGCATGTTCAATGTCCTTTTGCTCTATTCAAGGTACACAGCAAGTGGCGGCCGTGTCCTCTGTCTCCCCAGCAACCCCCTTCCAGAGCGTTCCCCCCACTGTCTCCCAGACGCCTGTCATCGCTGCCACCCCAGTGCCAACCATCACCGCAAACATCACGTCGGTCCCTGTTCCCCCGGCCGCTGCCCCGCCTCCTCCCTCGACGCCCATCATCCCCGTGGTTCCTCCCACACCGCCTGTAGTCAAGGTGAGTGTCCCTGGGGACAAGGTCAGCTGGCCGTCCGATTGCCAGGCCGGGGTTCCTGGATTCGGGCAGGTGTGGGGTGGGCAGGGGAGCCATCTGCCACCTGTCCCTGGGCACCCCCTCCTTAGTGGGTGTTTGGTACACGTGGCTCTGGAGTGGTTCTCTCTGTGCCCGAGGTCAGGCCGTCGCCCCTGACGCGGATGGGGAGACGGAGGCTCAGGGAGCTGCAGGTCACACAGCTGGTGAGGGCGGGCTGTGCTGAACCCCCGTTTCTCTGGTCCTGAAGCCCTGGCCTTTGCAGTACATGGGTCACTGTGGGAAGGCGTGGGAGAGGAGGGTGGATGGGTCCCAGAGCCCCTGGCTCACACGTGGACTTAGGGCAGTGGCCCAGGTGCATGGTGAGGAGCCAACAGCCGCACGGCCTGCCCTGTGCGCCCCGGTAGTGTGAGCTCCAGCCCGTCTGCCTCCCCGGTCTGGCCGGAAGCTTTCATGGAGGGGCTGTCCTGGCCGGGTCTGGGCTCGGAGCCCACGCTCCTTGTGAGATCCAGGGCAGGCCCCGGGCCGGGCGCTGACGTGTGTCTTCCGTTTGCCCCTCACAGCGGCCCTGTGGGGCAGACAGTAGTTCCCCCATCTTACAGATGAGGAAGCAGGCGCTCGGGGGGGTTAAGTGGCCCCCCCCAAGGTAACGCCCCGCCGCTGCTTTCCCTCCCCCATGGCCTTCACTGCCTGCACCTGTGGGCGGTGCCTGGCCAGGCCGCCTTACACCGTGCCCAGCTGTTTTTGGAGCATGTCCTGTTTGCCATGGCCGGGTGAGCTCCCCCGGGCCTCTGTGGCGCACGCTTGGTGTCCTGTGGGTGCCCACACGTGTTTGTGGATAGCCAGCCCGTGCCCCTGCCAGCCTGGGGGCGGCGGCTTTGCTGGGGCAGAGACCGCGGTGGCGCCCCAGAGAGCAGGTCGCTGTCAGGCCGTTAGCCTGGGTGTTGTGGTCCGAGGGGCCCCGTGCCAGTCTGAGAGGCGGGGAGCTGGCTGAGCTGGTCTCGGGGACGCCCGTGGCCCCAGCTGCGGTGCCTGAAGGGACCCTCATGCCCAGGGCACAGCCTGTGTGAGTGTCTGCCCTGCACCCACAGAAGGCTCTGTGGACCTTTTAACGTTCCCTCCTGTTACGGACAATAGCTCTCTGTGGCTCCCACTGCCTTTTGGCTTCAAGACCAGACCTGCCCAGTCAGCTCCCGGGAGTCCTTGGTCCCAAACCCGCCGCTGCCGCCCAGCCCCATCCCCGCCCCGCATGCTGGCCCCGCTCCTGGCCTCGGCCTGCTCTCCTTGGTGCTCCAGCTTGGAGGCCTCTGGCCTTTCCCACTGGCCTTTCTAAGCAGGGATTTCCGTCTGTCCCTGCTGTCCGTTAGCCTGAGTCCCGCTTGGGGTCGATCCCAGCGCCAGGTCCACCTCGGTCGTGTTGTCTCTGGAGCCCCCGCACGGCCCGGGGTTCGGGCAGGTGACTTGCACGCCCCCATCACGCTGCTCAGGCGTGCTCTTGGAGCCCGGGGGGCGAGTGGAGGGGACCCTGGAGGGGCGGCTCTGGGGCGGGGGGTGGGTTCTGAGTCCAGCCTTCCCACCACCAGCTGTGTGACCTTGGGCCTGAGCTGTGGCCCCTCTGAGCCTCGGCGTCCCACGGAGCGCGGGGTGCCGCCCGGGGCCGAGTGAGGCAGCGTCCGCGCTCCCGGGCCCCGTGCTCCGTCCCGGGGCTCACCGGTTGTGTTGCCGTCGCAGAAAAAGGGCGTGAAGCGGAAAGCAGACACCACGACGCCCACGACATCCGCCATCACCGCCAGCCGGAGCGAGTCGCCCCTGCCGCTGTCAGACCCCAAGCAGGCCAAGGTGGTAGCCCGGCGGGAGAGCGGGGGCCGCCCCATCAAGCCGCCCAAGAAGGACCTGGAGGACGGTGAGGTGCCGCAGCACGCGGGCAAGAGGGGCAAGTTGTCGGAGCACCTGCGGCACTGCGACAGCATCCTCAAGGAGATGCTGTCCAAGAAGCACGCGGCCTACGCCTGGCCCTTCTACAAGCCGGTGGATGCTGAGGCCCTGGAGCTGCACGACTACCACGACATCGTCAAGCACCCGATGGACCTCAGCACCGTCAAGGTACCGCATGGCGCCCGCCGGGGGCGCTCAGCAGGGCGGGCGCACGGGTCCAGACGGGGCTGGGACGAAGGTGCGTGTGTCCCGCCCGCCCTCACGGAATCTGGGGCTTCGCCACCCTCTGCCCCGCGGAAGCCCGTGTCCTGTCTCGGGGGGTGGGTTCCATACTGTCCGCAAGCACGGACTTTCCGGTGATGCGTCCCCTCCGCTGCCCCAGCCAGAGAGGGGCTCTGGAGCAGGGGAGGTAGTGGACTTGAGGCCTAGAGCCCGGCCTCCCATGCCCGGGGCTCCTCCTGGGCTTTATAGTGAGTTTTGTTCTGGGCCCGGCTGGTTGTGTACGACAGAGAGTGGGCTCGTGCTGGGCTGTGAGGGGCAGAGAGCCTGGGCAGAAGCAGACTAAAGGCACACGTAGGTGGGGTTCCTGACCCCCCCCAATCGGCTGGGGTCCCAGTCCACCTGCCCTCCTTCGGGGGGCATTCCGAGCTGGCACTGGTCTCTGGCCACTGGGGACAGTAGCCCGCCTCCTCTGGGAGCCGCCTGTGTGGCCCCGGAAGGTGCTCCCAGAAGGAGGTGGTTGCCTCTCTCCATCAAGAGGGTCTGGCCCTCGAGCGGCTGGTCTCTGGCATTCTGCCTGGTTTCCCCGTGATGCCAGCCTGGGGCAGAGTCTCCGTCTGGGAGACGTCCCCCGCGGCGCTTGGGGGTTTCGGGAGGGCAGACCTGGCTGTGTGGGGCACTGGTGCCTGGAGAACTGCGCCGAGGACCGATACCTTCTGTCCTGCCCCCGCTGGGAGCCTCGTACTGTCCTTTCCTTTGGACGGTGCCTCGTCCCCGTGAGTTAGCGCCAGCTGAGAGCAAGTACAAAGACTCCAGAGAGGCGGAGGCCAGTGGAGGGCAGAGCACAGCACCGCCCGCGCTCCGGGGGGACTCCCAGCCATGGTTTGGATTTGCTCTCAGCCGAGGCGGCTCTCCTGGCTGGTCTTGACTCTGGGGCAGCAGGAATGGGGCTCCCAGGTGTGTGTCCGAGGCCGAGCTCTCCCTGCTCCAGGTCTGCGAGCTCCCGGCTCTGGGCTGGCAGTGAGTGGCCGGCCCCCTCGGCCCCAGATAGGGGCTCCCCACACGTGTCCTGGCCGGGACTTGGGGTGGGGGTTACGGGGGCGGGTCATCCGCACGGACCCCTGCTGTTTGGAGATGGGGAAGCTGAGGCTGGAGGGAGTGAGGGCCTGCGGGCGCGGCCGCAGGAGCCCGTCCCGGCTCCCGGGAGCCTCCAGCTGAGACGGCACCCAGACGAGGGCGCGGTTAACAGTGCTGCCCCTGCTGCCCGTCTGACAGGCCAGTGACTTGTCCACGCCCCGCAGCCAGGGAGTGGCAGACTGTGGGGGGTTGGGGGTCGGCCCTGGTGTGCCGATGTCCCCGCAGGCTGAGCCTGTGTCCTGCTGGGGGACCTGGCGGGGGGGCTACTTGCGCTCAGGCACTTTGCTCTGGTGCTCCCGCTCGGAAACACCCGTCATCTGGGAAGCAGTGAGGAACGACACACAGCTGTCCGCCTGTCCTTGGGCCCCTCAAGCCCCTTAGCCCGTGTGTTCCCAGCCCCTGGGCCCTTGCCCCCCTGGAGCGTGGCCAGCGATCACTTTGGGGCCAGAGCCTGAAGCTCTGGCAGAGGTTCAGAGGGTCTCGCATGCCTGTTTGTCTTCCTGAGCTGGGCCTCCCCAGGGTAGGGAGGCTGTGCTGAGGGCCGAAGCCATGCAGCCTGGGAGCTGTCCGACGCCCTGTGACCGGCAGGGGTACGTCCCCAAGGCACAAGAGAGGCTGCAGGCTGTGGTGTCCGGCCGCGCTCCACCCCCAGATCCACGATAGCGTCCCTGGAGGTGCAACTGAGACAGACGGTCGGGCTCCCTCCTGTGCCGTCGGGCTCCAGGGGCGCATGGTCCCCAGGAGAACAGGGGGCCCCTCACCGGCGGGATGTCCCTGACGGACAGCTTCTGCTTGAACCCGTGCAGACACAGGGAGCTCACTGCCTCACGGAGCAGCTCCCGTCCACTTGCCCTGACTGGCAGCTCGTTCTAAGTGCTACCTCGCAGTGACCGCCATTGGTTGCGCTTCTGTCCTCCCCGGGAGCGTGTCCATCGTCTCACCACCGCCAAGCCCACCTCGTCCTGCTGGGCTGCGAGGGGCAGGCTGGTCAACAACGCCTGAACTCTCACAGAGATGAAATCGGTGTCTCCACCTGTGAACTGGGGAGACCAAACCCAGCCCCCGCCCCGGATCTGGCAGCGGAAGCTCCTCGTCCCCCCGGAGCTGCTCCTGTCAGGGCCTTTGCTGTGTGGAAAGTTAGCGCGTGCAGCTGGCAGGGCAAGGAGAGCTTCCGTGGAGGCTGCAGGAGCCAGGATTCTGGGGGTCCCGGAGCGTCGCTTCCGAGCCCTCAAGTCCCGCTCCCACGCTTGCCTCTGGGCTCCCGGGGACGTGGTGCGAGGCTGGCCGTGTGGTGGGTCTCCCTGCGGTGCCGGGCAGTGCCCCTCACCCCTGTCGTTCGTGTTACAGAAGAAGATGGACAGCCGCGAGTACCCAGATGCTCAGGGCTTTGCCGCTGACATCCGGTTAATGTTCTCCAACTGTTACAAGTACAACCCCCCGGACCACGAGGTGGTGGCCATGGCCAGGAAGCTCCAGGTAACCGAGGTCCTGTCAGGCGGAGGGGCCTTCTGGGCACAGCGCGGGGGTCGGGGGCTGACCAGCTTCCCGGGGCAGGCGCCCAGGAAAGACGCAGGCCTCCCGGAGAATGTGGGGCCCGGAAGGCCGTGGGAGAGCCTGCCCCGCACAACAGCCTTTCTCCTGAGCAGCGCCCACTGCTGGCCAGGCCCCAGGCCTGCTTCCCAGGCACACAGGGGCAGACAGGCCAGCCTCTGCCCTCCGGGGGCGGCGAGGCCGAGGAGGCGGGTGTCCCTCCTCCCGCAGATTCGGTCTCTGTGCGAGGAGGGGGTCTTTGTCACCAGCCTCCTAGTGAGGCTGCTGGAGGCCGGGTTCTGTGACCTTCTGCCAAAGTCTGGTGCTGCCCGCCTGTCCCTGTGTGGGTCGCTGTGCTCTCTTCATGCTGTGTGTTGTTGCCTTTGTTAACAACGGCGCCGTAATATTAAAGTTATTTTTGTCAATCCTAGAGAGAGGGTGAGCACAAGTTGAGGGAGGGGAAGAGGACCCCAAGCAGACTGGCCACTGAGCATGGAGTATGACACGGGGCTCGATCCCCCCCGGAGGTCATGACCTGGGCTGAAACCAAGCGTGGGCCACTTCACCGACGGGAACACCTTGGTCCCCCAGCAGCACCAAAATTTTAAATGTTACATAATTGGGGGATTTAATTTTGGAGGAAAGAGTAAAAATTGTGGATCTCTATACACTCCCAGCAGTTTTTTCCCCAGAATACAGGCTGTTAGTTGTTTGAGATGTTCCTGGTCTTTTGCTGAGAACCTTTTGAAGACCCCGGGAGGCAGCTCACAGTGCCCACCCAGCGCCCAGAGGAGGGAGGAGGGAGAAGCGCTTTCGTGCTGCTGGGTCCCCCTGTGTCATGTGGGCCTTTCCCAGGCTCTGCTGGCGCGGGCTGCACCCTCTGCGGACCGGCTCCCCTGCGGAGTCCGGCGCAACAGGCCCAATGGTCCCGGTATGCCCGGAAGCCGGCAGGAGTTGTGATTTTACGCTGAGACCACGTCCCCACCGTGTCTGGAAGTAAGAGGGCTTTGCCCAGTTGGGCTCCGCGTTGGCTCTGTGCCTCTCCTGAGCCTGCTGTAGCTCAAGGAGGAAGCGGGCGGCACTGGGGCCGATCAGGGGTGCCGGCAGCGTGCGGCGGCCAGTGGCTGTGGCTCTGTTCCCGCAGGTTGGCTCTCAGCAGTTTGGCCACAGAGGCTGTGAGTCACGATTCCCAGTGCACTGAGCAGTCATGGCAGTCCAGCTCCGGGATCGGAGCCCCGCACGGGGTAGCCTCTGCTGAGAGTACTTCTCCAGCCATGGGCCAAGGGCAGACCGGACCACCATGCACATATGTGCCTCTGGGGGTGTCTTCACCCCAGGAGGAGAGTCTGAGACCAGGGGGCTGGCATCTCACAAGTGTGAGCTGGAGCTCACGGGTGTAGGAGCTTAGCAGGGAGGGAGCGCCCACGTGGCTGTACACCCCCATCTGAAATGAACCTGGGCCTCCAGGAGAGGGGACCTTGGCTGGGAGGTGCCCCTGGGGGCCTGGGTCCTGCTCCGTGCTTTCTGAAGCCAGCTTTGACGGGACAGGACTCTTGCCTCTGCAGCCAACTTCTGGGCCTAACTTGGAACAAGAGGTGATGCTGTGGTAAAGCTCTGGGCGAGGTGTGGGAGAGAACGTCCACTGGCCTCCGTACCCGGCAGCTGGGGGCCCCATAAAGGTCACAGATGACACAGAGGCACTCTGTCTGCTTTGCCGTGGGCGGCAGCCTGTAGAGTCTCTGACCCCGAGGTCCAGAGAACACGCAGATCTCCTGCAGGAGGCGTGTGCTTAATAAAGAGGGCTCGCGGACCAGTTCCTAGAAGGCTGCGTCTGTGGCTGTTGTCCCCGTCGCCCCTGCCCCTGGACTGGCACTCAGAGCCTGGACGGGGAAGGAGGGAGGGGGAGCAGGAGAGCAAGCTGGGGCGGTGCTGCTCCGATGCCACTCACAGATACTAAGGTCTGGGTCTCCCACCCCCGGGGCTGCCCTGTGGGAGTCCAGGACCTCAGGTGGCCCCTGCTTCCCCCCAGGACGTGTTTGAGATGCGGTTTGCCAAGATGCCTGACGAGCCCGTGGAGGCGCCAGCGCTGCCCGCCCCCGCGGCCCCCGTGCTGAGCAAGGGTGCGGAGAGCAGCCGCAGCAGTGAGGAGAGCTCCTCGGACTCAGGCAGCTCCGACTCGGAGGAGGAGCGGGCCACCCGGCTGGCTGAGCTGCAGGAGCAGGTGTGACCGGGGGCGGGGCCCAGGGAGGGGTACGCTCCGAGGGCCCCCGACCAGCCTGTGGGGCGGGACCTCAGCCGCCGAGGTCGTGGTCGTGTCTAGTGGGCGCCGGCTCTGAGGCTGCGGTAGGGAGGAGGCGGCCCCATGCTGGCCTCCGATGGGGAGGAGAGAATGGAGACCAGCGGCCGTGGTCACCAGCCGGGAGGGCCGCTGGTGTTTGGGGGCTGAGCCTCGTTAGAGGTGGCGCCGCAGGGAGGGTGGCCCTGGGCATAGCTGGACCTGTGACGCCTTTTCCTGCCCTGGGAGATGCAGCTCACGGGAGCCCCTCACGGCCCGCTCAGGGGTCGCTGAGATGGGAAGTGCGTGGAGCGCTTAGCGCACGGCCAGGGAGGCACTGGCCCGGGGTACACGTTAGCTGCTGGCCTGGATTGTTTTAACCTGCTATGTCTGCCACGTGACATGGTGGTGGCTTCTAAATGGAGCCGTCGAAAACCTTTGTACAGACGCATAAACCTCTGTGTGGGGTTGTCTTTGTCGGAAGAATTCTAAGGAAGGAGAAAAGCAACTGTGCCCCCTGTGCTGGCCTGAGTGCACCACCAGGCTCACAGGTCGGCCCCTCGGCCACCCACGCGCCCTGTTTCCGGCGAGGACGGTGAGGCCCGGGAGCTCTCCAGCACTGGCTGGGGTAATGAGGGCAGGGGGAGCCTTTGATGCCCTCTGCTCCTGGACCCGTCTGGCTTTCGACAGCAGAGCGTGGCTCCATGCTCCCGGCTCAACCTCCCCACGTGTTTGAGGTGGCTTCAAGGGCACCCCAAAGCCCCCTCAGGCCAGCCCCCGGGGAGCCCTCTCAGCCACGTGCTGTTTTCCAGCTGAAGGCTGTGCACGAGCAGCTAGCCGCCCTGTCGCAGGCCCCCGTGAACAAGCCAAAGAGGAAGAAGGAGAAGAAGGAGAAGGAGAAGAAGAAGAAGGACAAGGACAAGGACAAGGAGAGGCACAAGGCAAAGTCTGAGGATGAGAAGAAGGCCAAGGTGGCCCCACCTGCCAAGCCGGCCCAGCCGAAGAAGGCGCCTGCCAAGAAGGCGAGCAGCACGGCCGCGACCAGCAGGTGGGCTGCGGCGCCCTTCAGGCCCCGGCAAGCCCAGTGTCACTTGTCCTAGGTGCTTGTGGTGGGAAGGTCCTGGATTTGGGCCTCTGCACCTTGGCTGCAAATCCTGGTGACACGGAGACTGGGCTGATACATGGAAAAATGGGCTGGGGGCTGGGTTGTCCTTGTCTCTCCCATCTTTTGGCACAAAATGAGGCCTCTGGCGGCAAGACTGAGCCCTGGAGAGTATCCCACAGCTCTCCCTGGGGTTAGCCTCTCAGTCTCGGGCACTGGAGTGGTCGCACTCTCTGCCACAGACTTCGGCATCTCAAGTCCTTGGGGCCGTTTTCCTGCTTTGGGCCAAGGAGTTCTAGGGACATTGCCTCTTAACACGGGTTCTACTTCCTGGTCCACCTGCCTTTTGTCCTCACTTCTCCTGGGTCAGGCCCTGCCCTGAGGAATGCCTGCCACAGACAGGACGACGGGGATGAGGATGGGGGGCTTGTGCTCAGGGCCGGCGTGCCTTTCCTGCAAGGTAGAGGGGCTTCCCAGAGCAGGGTGACAGCTGTGCTGGAGGGAGCCCAGCAGCAGTCGCGATAGGGTTCCAAGAGACAGGAACAGCGGGGACAGAGCCATGGACGCCAGCAGTGTTGTGGGAATTAGTGGGAATTGGGACAAGGTTGGTTCCACTGAAGAGTGGAGACTGGTTTGGGAAAAGGGCTTGGGAGAGGCTGCTGAGGTTGGCCAGCTCTGTTGAGGCCTCTCGTTTTACCCCCCGAGCAAGTGAAGGGAGGTCGTGAGGTGTTTGAGCTGGAAGTGGTCAGATCCTGGTCATGCAGTGGGATGCAGGAACGGGAGAAGGGACAGCCTTGGGAAGTTTTCTGGTTCTGTAGGCGAGAGAGGCCAGGGTGGCCATGGAGGGGAGAGGCGGGAAGGACAGTCCTTGGGGCCCAGAAGCAGGAGGACAGGGCATGGGGAACCGGGAGTTTGGGCCTTGGCTGCTGGGTGGCCAGCGGCATTAGCAAGGGGTGGGGGTGTTTTGTCCTCCCTCCCTTTTCAGAGGGGAGGCAGGAATCAGGTTTTCTTGTAACGTCTGCCTGGATTTGGGGTCCGTGTAACACTGGCCTTGAAAATGAGTTGGGATGTGTTCTCTCCTATTTCCTGGGTCAGTTTATAGAGCTGGTATTAATTCTTAACTAGTAAGTAGCATTCCCCAGTGAAAGCATCTGGGCCTGGAGTTTTCATTGTGGGAAGGTTTTTTTTTTTTTTTTTTTTAAAGATTTTATTTTTTTTTCAGAGGGGGGGGGGAGAGAGCGAGCACAGGCAGACAGAATGGCAGGTAGAGGCAGAGGGAGAAGCAGGCTCCCCGCAGAGCAAGGAGCCCAATGCGGGACTCGATCCCAGGACACTGGGATCATGACCTGAGCCGAAGGCAGCTGCTCAACCCACTGAGCCACCCAGGCGTCCCTGTGAGAAGGTTTTTAATGATGAATTGAGTTATTTTGGTAGATACAGGACTAGTGACGTTTTTCAGTTTCATCTTGAGTGAGTTTTGGGGATTTGTGCTTTCGAGACATTGCTCCATTTCCCCCGAACTATGGAATTTGGGGACATTGGTTTGTGTGCCGTGTACCCTTACTGTTTAACATCGGTAGGGCCTCTAGTGATGTGTCCTTTTTGGGGGACTCTGTCTTTTTTCTGGGTGAATCTGGAGAGAGATAGAGGAGTTTTATTGGTTGTTAAAACAACCAGCATTTGATGTCATTGGGTTTTATCTGCTTTCACTTCTTTTTGTTCATGGCCTTATATTTATTACTTCCTGTTGCTTGTTTTGGACTTAATTTGCTTTCTTAATGTAGAAACTTAGATTATTGATTTGAGACCTTCTTTTCTAACCTAAGCGTTTAGTACTATTTATTTCTGTCTGCACACTACTTTTAGGTGTACTCCACAAATTTGATATGTGTGATTTCATTTAGTTCAAAACATTTTCTAATTTCCCTTCAGCCTTCCTCTTGGACCACAGGTTGCTTAGAAGTATGTTGTTTAATTTCCAAGTATCTGGAGATTTTTTTTCTGGACATGGTTCCGTTATTGGTTCCTGGCTTAATTCTGGTAGGGTCAGAAAACATACCTTGTGTGCTCATAGTACTTTTGTTAAGATTTATTTTATGGCTGGGAACTGAGGAATGTTCCGTGTGGACTTGCACGTGTGTTTTCATGCTCTTGGGTTGAGAATGTTAACTGAAATGTCAGGGAAAAAACAAACCAGAAACGTGTCAGTTAGCTTAATTCGGAGAATGGCGTGGCTGGGGCCTTCTCTGTTCTTGCTGACGGGCTTTACCAGCCACTGGGAGAGAGTCGCCGGGTCCGCAGCGGAAACTGTGGATGTTTCCACTGTCCTTCGGTTCTCAGTTTTGCTTCATACACTCTAAAGCTTGGTTTTTAGGTTCACACAGGTTGAGGGCTCTCATGTCTTCTCAGTCATTCGATCCTTTTCTCACTATGCCATGTCCCTCTGCTTCCTGACACTGTTCCTGTTTCCAAAGTCTCCACTTTCTCAACACCAGCCACTGCAGCTTTCTTTCCGTTAGTGTTTGTGTGGTAGAGTCCCCCCACCCATTGCTTTACTTTAATCTTCTGTCATTGTGTTTAACATAGGGTTGGTGGACCTCATGTGAGTCAGCTCTTATTTCTTATCCAATCCGACTATGTCTTTTAGTTGGTGTGTTTAGATCATTTATATTTAATGTAATGACTGATGGCAATTGCATTTCGCTCTTCTGTTCCGTTATTTGTCTTCCCTGTAGGCTTTATTCCTATGTCCCCTTTTCTGCATCCTTTTGGATTATTTGAATATGGAGATCAGTTTTTGACCTGCTGTATCCAAGATGCCTGTGGAGTGTTGAGGGGAGCTGACCACTACAGTCTTTCCTGGCTGAGGCTTAGAGACCCCCAAGTGGGGAGCAACTTCTGCTCTGACCTCTGAAACAGGGTCTTCTGTGTCCCTGCAGACACATGCAGCCCTCAGACAGTCCACCTGGCTTCTCTGCCTGGGGCACTACTTAGGGCTTGCCTCTCGGTATAAGAGCCTCGTTCTGGAGAGGTGGAAGGCCAGACAGAGCAGGAGTGAGGGGCAGGCTCCACAGGGGCTGGGGGGACACGGACTGGCAGCTCCACGGGGCTGGGGGGGCAGGGGCAGGGGCTCTGTGTCATGGTGTTCTTTGCCTTGTGCCACAGGCAGCTGAAGAAGGGCGGCAAGCAGGCATCAGCCTCCTACGACTCAGAGGAGGAGGAAGAGGGCCTGCCCATGAGCTACGACGAGAAACGCCAGCTCAGCCTGGACATCAACCGGCTGCCCGGGGAGAAGCTGGGCCGGGTGGTGCACATCATCCAGTCCCGGGAGCCCTCGCTCAGGGACTCCAATCCCGACGAGATCGAGATTGACTTTGAGACTCTGAAACCCACCACTTTGCGGGAGCTAGAGAGATACGTCAAGTCTTGTTTACAGAAAAAGCAAAGGAAGCCATTCTGTAAGTCGTGGGGGCAGAACACTGTGCTCGCTGTCCCTACCCTCTCCCGATTCCCCTCCTCCCCTCTCCTGCAGGCCTGGGGGAACAGGCCATGGGGCGGGTCCCTGCCCTTGCCCGTTCACGTGCCCCAGAGACACCTGTCTGTGTTCAGCCAGGCCCTTCTTCCCTGCTCTTGGTCAGGCCTTCGCCCCGAGCCTTCCTGAGGCCCGTTTGGGACCAGGGCTTGCAGGTGACCTCTTGATGGTCCACTGCCAGGGCAGAACGTTCCCCTTTGCCTGGAGTTGAGGGTCCAGAGACCTCCCAGGACAGATGTCGGCACTGGCCCAGGCTTGTCCTGGAAGTCAGTGACTTCACTGGGTGGGGACCAGGCGCTGCCTGGGGCAGTGGGTCCTGGGGAGTGAGAAGGGCAGGCCCAAGGCAGCCCCCAGCTGCCGGAGAGCTGGACAGCGGCCCCAGGAAACAGCCAGGGTGCACCTAGGCCTGCGTGTGGCCCTCTCAGTGGGCTTCCTCGCCTCCTCGGAGGGGTCAGTTGCTTCCTCCTGGATGTCCGGGGAGCCCCACAGTCAGCTGCGCTGACCCTTGGTAAGTTCTCCTGGGACTCAGAGGTGGTGGCCTCCCTGCTGAGGCTGAGGGAGAGCCGCATCCGTGCGGGAGGAGACACCTGCGAGTTTTGCACCTGCGAGCCGGGGCGGCAGCCCTGCGGGGGCCCAGTGAGCACCCGGGAGGGCTGGTGGCCCCCGAGGCCGCCGGGCTGAGCTCCTGGGGTGGCCGCCGGCTCAGCTCTGTGCTCCTCTGCAGCCACGAGCGGGAAGAAGCAGGCAGCCAAGTCGAAGGAGGAGTTAGCTCAGGAAAAGAAGAAGGAGTTAGAGAAGCGGCTGCAGGACGTGAGCGGACAGCTGAGCAACAACAAGAAGCCGGCCAAGAAAGGTACCTGTCTGCGGGCAGCGCCACCGCCCCGCTTCCCGCTACCCTCCGCTCCGAGGGGCGGGGCGGAGTGGGCGTGGAGGCGGGTGGGGTGTGGGCGTGGCAGAAGGCGGGGCTGGCAGGTGGGGCGGGGGTGTGGGCGGGGCATGGGCTGCAGACCCCGCCTTCAGTCTGGGGCTTCAGCTGGGTAGCCGCGTGCCCTTAGATGACGCTCTTGACACCCTGAAACCCCAAGTCCTTTGGGTCTCCCTCCTGCGGGGAGGTTGAGCCCATGGGCGGCGTGTGTGAGAGTTCCCCCTGCCAGAACTGCCCAGCACCCCCGCAGAGGACTTTCTGGAAGGGCCTAGCTGTGGTCTTTGCGGGTGGACCCTGCGGCTTGAGAGGGACTGGGGTCCTGACCCCTGGCATCAGGCTTTCTGGCTGTCCCCAGGCAGGAGAGACGTTCCAACTCCCTGCCCCCAGGCCCTGTGCTTTGTGGACGGAGGGCTCTTACTTTAGGTGAGCAGGTGATTTGCTGCTCTCATTCCTCTGGAGCCACGAGAAAGGGCAGATCCCATTTTCCCAGCCCCGGGTAGTGAGCGGTCAGAGTCCACAGCCACGGGGTAGCTGGATGCTGGGCCCTGCCTGCTCCAAGCAGGGAGGGTCCCTTCTGGTTTCCCCTGGGCAAGGCAGAGTAGGTGCTGTCTTCAAACTGCTGACCTCCCCCCTCGCCGCACCGGTTCCTCGTGGCGGACTACTTTCGTGTTTTCTAGACTCGTGTATTTCAATAGTTTGTGAGCCTCTGCGCCGTTTTTACCCACACTTCCGACTCCAGATGTGTGGGCTTTTGCTCAAGCCAGCTCTGCAGTCCCAACTCCAGGTGGGGTCCGGTGATTCAGTTCCTTTCCGACGCTGCTGGCTTAGGGTTAGCCCAGAGCCCACAGGTGGGAGGCTCACCCCCACAAGACCACCCTTCTCCCAGACGCCAGCTGCAAGTCCGTGGCCCGCCTTACCACTGACCAGCAGGCTGTGTACGGGGGCTCCCATGACCCTCTGCTCAGACCTAATGCTTGCTAGGAAGCACTTGTACTTGCCGCGTACAGCGTTGTCAGGAGCAGCAAATGGAAGAGGCGCAGGAAGAGGCATGGTGGGGCGTGTAGCTTCCCTCCCCTCTCTGGGCATGCCACCCTCACCGCATGTCCGCGTGCCCCTGAGCCCAGAAGCTCAGCATCGAGAGTGTCCTGGTGCTCCATCTCCCGCAGCCTCTCTGCCCGCAGCTCCCAGCCCCAATCCCGCGGTTTTCCTGGTGACCGGCCATCCCGAGTCACTTGTGAGCCTAAACTCAGGTGTGAGCCACAGGGGGCTCCTTGTAAGTAAGCAGACATTCCGCTCACTCCGGGGGTGCCAGGGGTTCTCGGAGCGCTGCACCTGGAGCCCGGAAAAAGGCCAGATGCATTTCTTTACCGTCCAGTACCCTCATGAGTGCAGGCTTGCGTCTCACCGAACCTCTCTTAATGCTGGCGGAGCGACTGGGTGTGGAAACGGGGGGGCCGAGGCTCGCGACGTGTCGGTGGTGCTCCGAAGAGCTTGGCCGGTGAGCGTGGGGCTGTGTGGGGGCGCGCTTCTCACCTACCACGTCTCCCCCAGAGAAGGCGGGCTCCGCGCCCTCGGGAGGGCCGTCCCGGCTCAGCAGCAGCAGCTCCTCCGGGTCCGGGAGCAGCAGTTCCAGCGGATCCAGCTCGGACAGCAGCGACTCGGAATGAGCTCTGCACTCACAGAACAGAACAGAACCAGCGACGTCGCACACGCCGAAACTCTGCAGTGTTCCCTTCTCTGGTTAATATACTACTTTCGTTCCACGGTGTGCAGGTTTCTTTTTAACTCAGTGTTATGGTATCTTCCAGTTTTTGCTTTAATAGGTCAAAGATCTTTCTCGTGTGTCCGTGAGGCTTTATGAGCAGGGGTGAGACCGCGTAAAGCCCTTTCCTCGTAACTGAGTTCAGTTGCTTGGAGATGGCAACTTCCAACGCTGACCTGATGACCGTAGAAAACCGTGTCGGATGGGATCTGAAGTTTCTTGCAAAAACTCCTTTCTTAGGCCCGACCTGGTCTGTAGCTCCAGAAAGAATTGTTGGAAAGGAAGTTTCTCTGAGATGGTACCATACTGAAGGCTGTCAGCTTTGCGAATAGGTGTTGTCTCTGCCCTTCGACTCCCCGCGCTCAGCCCTGCAGCGGCCAGGCTTGCCTCTTGCTGCGGGGGCCGAAGGTTGGGGGGCGGGGCCCGTGGGCTCCAGTCCGGGCTTCTGCAGGGGAAGGTTGGGGAGAGGCAGGTGGGCGCAGAGGGAGGGGCGTCAGGAGCTCCCGGGAGGGAACACGGGGGCCGCCTGTGCCACGCGCAGCTTTCCATACACTGAAACTTTTACCTCAACTTAAAAAAAAAAGGAAAAAAAAGAAAAAAAAAGAAAAGATTAAAAAAAAAAACAAAAGGAGACTTTTTTTGTAAGGTTCAATTTTCTACGAAAGTCCAGCCCCATGTGTGTCCCCAACCCGTGAGCTGCCGGTGCCGCACACTCTGGAGACCTTTCCCCGGTTTCGTGTATATAGGAACACTTTATTTATTAACATCATTGGTCGTTTTTTTTAAAAAAAGAAAAACAAAACTGCTAAAGAAATGCATTTAAAAAAAAAAAAAAAAGCAGACACGCACACGCAGGCCTTTTATGTGGTTGGAAGGAGAGCCCCAGACCCTGCCCGGATGGCGGACTGTGACCTCCAGGTGCTGGCGTCCCGCCACCTGTGCCGGTGCTCAATCGCGCCTGCGCGCTCGCCCTTCCCCGCCTGCCCCGCGGCCGGTGTCTGTCTCCGTGTGCGCGCGGGGTCCGGACGCACAGGCACAGACAACTTCCAGCCGCAGCACATGCTCAGTCTTCGTTTTGTGTGTCGAGTTCTTTTGTACTCACTTCTGGTCTCTTTAGGACTGTTTTAAAAGAAATCAATTTAGGGAACCCCAGTTATATAATATAAACTTTGTAATCTGAAAGAAAAAAATGTATAGTAAATCTAAGTCTTGATTTTTAACTTTCTATTGTAAAAAAATAATAATAATAATATACAGAGTTTAACAGAAGGTTATGTTTTGGTTTTGTTTTTTTCCAGAGGCTGCCCTGCGGCCTTTGGGTACAGGGACACTGCCCGCCTGAACTCAGAGCATTGTGGCTTCGGCCATGAGTGTTGGGGGCCGGCTGGCCAGTCCTCCCCCCGCCCCCACGGGGCACCCCTCACCTCCCAGCCCCGAGGGCAGGAGCAGTGGCCTGGCCAGGCTCTCCCTAGGGGCAGGAGGAGCCTCTGGCCCACCCTCAGCCACAGGAGGCTTTGCTCCCGGAGGACCACTCCAGGCTCCCTGCTCAAGCATTTTCCCGTTAGCACAGAAATGACTGAGACAGGGTCTTCTCCCAGACCTTCCTGGGAGGACTTCCTGGAAGTGGGTGCTGGGGGCAGAGCTGGCCTTGGGTCTGGTGGTGAGTTTCCAGGTGGACGGGGGGAACTGGTCATCGGTATCCGAGTAGGGGGCGCAGTCTTTACAAATTCTTAAAATGAAATCAGGTTCCCCCGGCCCTTAACGGTCACAGGTGCCCTTGCTGGACGTGGAACTGATGAGGCGGTCGGTGGGTGGCGGGTTACCATGTTTCTTATCTGCTGGTGATTCTGACGCTTGGTGAGTTTTGAGCCAGTTTGTTAAACTTTTCATTAAGTTTTGTTTATAATAAAAATATATGTGGATTTTTCAACTTGCCATTTTTTAGAGTTACCCTTGTGTTTCAAAGATGTTTTTCTAAGCAGATCTGTAACAGAATATTTAAACTAGGACTTTAATACGTGACACAATGGACGGCAAAGCAGGCTCTTGCTGGCCACGGGCAGCAAGCATGCCTCCCCGAGCAGGGGGTGCCGGGCCATGCGTGGGGGGCTCCTGGGGAGCACCTGTCTGGCTGCGGGCGTAGTGGGGGAGGTCACCTGCGTGAGCCCGGCACAGTGGAAGCATTTCAGATCACTTCACTGTCCGCTGGCTCTGTGGGAGACATGGGTTCCAGAACAACTCTGCCCCTCTCCCCTGCCCCTAGTGAGGCCGCCGGCCACCACGGCACAGAGGGCTGCCGGCTATCGGAGCAGTGTAGTTCCATGGTGCTGGTTTCTTAGGGCTTTCTGTGCAGACTTCAAAGCCGATGTCTCTTCCGAGTTCAGGTGAACGTCCTCAGTCCCCTCGAGGTCAGCCTGTGGGCATTTGCCGTCTCCACGTCTCTGTGCTGGGGAGACCGCAGTCGGACAGGCCAGGCTCTTGAGGCTCGGAGAACCCGAGGGCGGCTTTCACGGCCTCTTCCTGAGGGAGAAGGAACCGTGCGGTTAGCAGGCTGGTCTCATGGGAGCCCCGGAGGCCCGGGGACAGAGACTCCTGCTCGCGATGGGCGGGGTCATCTTGCGTACGAACTGTAAGATATGTTTTCTTTCCGTTTCTCTTTTTGTTCTTAAGCAACATCACGTCTGTGACAGCTCTTTGGGGAAAACACCCCCCGGAGAAAGGATGCGTTCCCCCCAAGTGTAGCCTGTCCCTCAATACTGACATCACGCTTCCAGAGGTTTTTCTTTTTTATATTTAAAATGTTACTTTTCTGTATGATGTGCATGCAAGTTTACGGTAACTTTCCTTACTTTTTAGTGCCGTTTCTAGTATATTCCTGTAAATGTCAGTTACTGAAAATTGAGTCCAATGTAAGTAGTTTTAGCTCATTTATTGCAATGCTGGCCTCAACACAACAGAATAAAAATGGTAGAAAGTACTCTTTGATGTTTCTGGTAATCGTAGACCCTTCTCCTGGGGCATTTGTTTTGTTTTCATAATAAAACAAAAAAAAAACAAAAACAAAAAGGTGCCCGTGTGTGCCTTTGCTTGTGCTTTCTGGTGGTTCCCGGCCTCGCAGACGCGCGTGTGGAGGTGTCGGGAAGGCCGTCCGCTGCCCTCGGGGGCTCCTCGTGGCTCACACCCTGGGACGTTCAGCCGCCAAAGCAGCCCAGCTCCTCAGCCTGGGCAGGAGGGCACCAGGATTTGGGGGACATCACCGTAGCCTTTCTCTTGCCCTGAATGGTTTCTAGAACAAGCAGCCGTCTTTGTAGAAGCACAGCCTGGGTCACACTGGGTCTCACTCGCTGTTCCCTCCTCCCTGTGCAGATGCCTCCCCTGGCGCTCCGGCTGCGTGGGGGCTGGTTCCAGGGCGGGTTGCCGGCGGCAGGCAGCAGACACTGTCCTGCGGGCACAGCCGCCTATCTGCTGGAGTTTTCCAGCACTCCGTAGAGCCCGGCAGAGGAGAGGCTTCTGCAAGGAATGGACGGCAGATGGGTGCTCTGATACTGGTTTTTTGAGCAGTCGTGGCAGTTAGCGCCTGTCTCGACAGCACTCTCCCTCCCACCCCGTCAGCAGGTGCAACCTTCCAGCATCCTCTTAGCACGTGCCGTCCTTGTCCGGACTCTTACCCCCTTTCATCTAGGCTGACCTCCCTAAGGATGGGGACTGGGCTGTGTCCACCTCCGTGGCCCCAGCCCTGGCCTGGGAAACCAGCCGCAGGGCTTCCCTCCAACAGATGGTGGCTTCCTATGCTCTAAGCAGCTTAGCGCCTGCTGTCCTATGGACGGCCGCTGCATGTCGGTCCCCTGCACACCCTGATCTGTGCAGACATCGGCCGTGGCCAGTGCTGTCTTCCCAGGTGCTCTCCATGCCTGGGGTCGGAGTAACCAGCACCTGTTCTCAGGGTGATCTGAGGCGCGCACCAGTGGCAGGGGCACTCCAGATGAGTCTGCAGTTTGCTTTCTTCCCGAGCAGGACTTACTGAACTGCAAGGACATCGCGCGAACGGTCTCCTGGGTAATCCCAGTGTCAGGGCGGCCAGACACAGGTAGGTCTTACTCGGTGGAGACGGGGCAAGCTTTCCTCTTCAACACCAGGAGGAGACTCGGGAAACGTGACTTCAAACCTCCCGACCCACGCAGCAGGCAAGCCTGGGGTCCATGGCTAAGACCAGGCCTCTGGCTGGACATTCGGGGAGCGAACTCTGACCCAGCAGTTTCGCTTCCAGGAGGCTTGCTAAGGAACTTGCACACCCACAAAAAGAACCAGGTCCGACGAAGCCCAGGACACGCTGTGTGTAGGGCAGCCACAGGAGCATCTCGTGGGCTCACGGGAGTGCTGCCAGTCAGACATTCAAAGCATGACATAGATGTCCGTCTGGACAGCTGGGCAAGAAGAAACCCGCAGGACGAGATGCGCGGCGCCGGCCGTGCCTTTAGAACCCTGCACGACGGCACGTGCAGAGCTGCTGCTCACGGCTGCCTGCGGAGGACGCTCCTGTTCTTCATGGATTTCTGTAACGGGGTTTGTAGCAATCGTGAGATTCTGTTGTTGCAAGAATCTAACCTAAAGGCGACTTACCGTACGAACGAACAGATAAGAGTGAAAAAGGAAGGAGTCCCCCAAAGCATATTTATTTAGAAAAATCGGCTTTGACAAAAGATATCCCTACATTTGCAGAGCCGCGCAGACGTCCCTTAAAGCCGAAGGCAGGTCCATTGCAAATGCCAAACGGTCCACGTGGGGCCGCCGCAGGGCTGACCGGCCGCCGCCTCTGTGCACGGGGCTGCAAGATCCCGTCGGAAATCTCTGTAAACAGCTGACGTGAAACTTGAAAATACATCTTGGTTTCCGTACTGTTGTTTGGATGCCTCTGCATGCTTGCCCCCAAGTATGTGGAAGCTGGCATAGAAGCTTCTAGAAGCTACTGCAGTGCATCGCACACAATTCCTGTTTTCGTCATCGAAGGCCCTGCTACGAGGCTGCTGCTGGCCCCTTACTCCCACCTGGCCCCGCCTGCCACGATTGGCCATACCTGACCTGACGCCGGTTCCTTCATCTTTTTTGGTCTGTCCTGTTCTTTACCAGGCAGAAGGCAATCCTGGAGACGACCTAGAAAGTTCTGAAAAGGTCTGGAGCCAGGGTTGTCCCTCTTGCTTGGGCCTCTTGGAAACATAAGAGAAAAGCCACATCTAGCTGTGTCCCCACTAGGGCCTTGTCCCCAGCGTTGGCAGGGCTGCCACTGAGCCCGGGAGCCAGGTCCGCCGCTCGCATGGTATGTGGAGAGGCCTCAGGAGCCCCTGCGAGCATTCTTGGCTTCTGGAAGCACAAGTGGGTCTCCTTGTTCACTGTCCAGAATCTCCCAGTAAGGCCTGGGGACCACCAAGGCCACTCGCTGAGTGCAACACGGCCTGATCTCCGCCCAGCTCAGCGCCTGGGCCCAGGGTGTCCCACAGGAACTACATGATAGTACAGAACTTGGATCGGCCTGTGTCCCGAGAGACTCCGAGCTTGTGTCTGTCCCGGACCAGGATGGCCTCGTTTCCGTACTGTGAG